GCGGGGTTGTGCTCGCTGCGCCAGGGATCAGCGCTACCGGATGACCCTGACAGCCCTCCAGCTGCTCTGCTGCAGGCGTCCCCGATTCAGCCACTGCTGAAACTGACCAGCAGCGGCTGAATCAGGGACTCCTGGGGCAGAGCCGGACTATCAGAAGGGAGGGCTATGAGGGTGTCTGGGGTAGCATCCCCCACCCCACCCCAGACCCCTCATAGCCCCCCCTTCTGATAGTCCAGCATATCTGATAATCCGGTACCCCCTGGGTCCTAAAGGTGCCGGATTATCGGAAGTTTACTGTAACTCCTTAATATCCCACATGAAACTTTGTATCATTCTTAAACACAAAAACAAGCAATGCATATTAACTGATCCCCCATATTAAGCAGACTGCATCTATTCTCTTATTGACTGAACAAGCACGTTCCACAGAGAACGTGCATGTAGATGGGAGACAGGAATTATCTGTACCTTGCCCAAGTAGTATGTTAGGATTTTATCCAACAAGCAGCATACTGCAAAACATCTGCTGTTGCAAGGGGAGGAATGCTAGGTCACTGAACACCATTATGTAAAAGTTCTGCCACTCTTTTTGATCACAGAATTTAGATGCCCAACCACCATGGGAGCTAGATTTGTAAGAAGGTCCCAGGCAGAGTCCAGCTTATCACAGTCAAAGGTTTTAGTAACATGATTTTGCAGAATTGGTCTCTTTCATGCAAAAGCATTTTAGATAGGGCTGTCCAAGACTCAAGTTTGACTCCTCAAAAGCATAGCATTTTGAAAGACAAAAAAAAAATACACTGCCTTACCAATAAGAGAACTGTAAAATTGAGATCAAATGCATACGACCCTTGCTTAAGCAGAAAGGGATCATGACAGAAATTTGATATTTTCATGTGCACAACATTTCTCTGATCATGGTTAGAAAGCCTAAGACCAAACAGTTTATCAGGAGAAACAATCCCTACAAACGGACATTTCATAGTTAATGGACAAATCAGACATCAGAACCAGTAACACACACAAACCTGTAGGGGGAACATTTTAACTTGCCAGCTCACTCAATCATGGATTTAAAAGTGGCCATTCTTCTACAAAGAAATTTCACTAACCAATTACAGAGTCTGCAGAACTGGAATTCATCTACAGATTTGACACCGTTACCCCGGGCTTGAACAAAGACATTAACTGGTTGGTTATCTGACAAAGTGTGTTTTACCCACAAAAGCTCATCATACTATAAATTTTGGTTAGCCTCTAAGGTGCCGGAGGACTACTCGTTTTTAAAGTAGTCCTAACAAGGCTACCCCTCGGAGATTTCATAGCTAGGTTTCTCTTTGCTTATTCCACTCACATCCACTCAATGAACGTTGAGCCAGGAGTGGATTTACTATGAAACAAGCCACGTGGAGACAGGAGATCCCCCAAAAGCAGGACAGGTCTCATCTAGCAACCTACCCCAAGCTCAGGCAGGCTGCCTGCATACTGCTCCTGCTGCTCTCAGAAGTGGCCAGATGCTGGCACATCTCTACACGCCCCCGGTGGCTGGGAGGGGTCAGCAAGGTTGAAGGAGGCTGTGTGTGCTGTCCTCCTCCTGGGTAGCACACGGAGACCCACTCTCCACCCCTCCCCACCCAAGGAAGGTGCAGAGAGCTGGCAGGATGGCAGGGCTAAGGTGGCTCCCTGCCTCACTGCCCCCAGAAGTAGCCAGCATGTCCCCATGGTCCCAAGGGTGGAGGGCGTCTCTGCATGTTGCCCCTGCCCCAACTGCAGATACTGCTGCTCCCATTAGCTGGGAACTGCAGCCAATGGGAACTGCAAGAGCAGTGCCTGCAGGCAGTGGTGTGCTAAGCCCCCTTCCTCCACCTATGAACCACTGCCAGTGGGGTGTGCCGGTCACACTGGGAGCTGTGCCTCCCAAGATAAGCACCACCTCCCTGCAGCCCCAAACCCCAGTCCAGAGCCTGTACCTCAACCCCTCATTCCCTCCTGCACCCCAACTCCCTGCCCCAATCAAGGAACCACACTTTATTTTCATTTACTTATAACAGGCCTGGGGGCCAGATGCAGCCCCCCCAAACCTCAGAGGGCACCCCAGAATTAGGGAGCTTGCCCTGGCACTCCAGCCCCCCTGCTGCACCACCATGGGGCTGGAGCACAAAATCTACTAGGCTAGACTCTCCCCCCACAGGCTCTGGTGTGTGAGGGGAACATGGGGAGTGTCTTCCTCCTCAGCTGGGGGTCATGATAGTGAGGATGCTCCCCCTCTCCCCACTTGTATGCAGCCCCGGACTGAGTTTTCTGTGGGTCAGTGGCCCTTGACCCAAAAAAAGGTTCCCCACCCCTGACTTACAATACCGGAGGAGAATGAAGAATAAAAAACGGAGTGGGGGATGAGAAAAACGTTCTCTTGGCTGGCACCCAAGAAGGGGAAGCCCCTGACAATGAAGCTGTGCATAGGGCCCCACTAACTCTAAAGTGCACCATTGAGCTCAACCTCTGTCAAATGATCCCTGTTACCTTCATGGACTCCGAGTACAAGATGTACTCCCTGAGGACAGGCAGGAAGTCCTCGGTCATGTCATCGCTCAGTTCCTCGAGCGCAGTACAGCAGTTCCCAATACAGGCAGACACTCCTTCCAGGGGCTCTGCTAGCTCCCCTTCTAACCCTCCCCAGGTGGAGTAAACTGGCCCGTACTCTCGCAGTTCCACCAGGTACTCTGGAAGACACAAGATGAGGAAACGAATTTAGATTCCATAGGCAACTGGGTTTCCAAAAGCAGCGACGTTGCTTTAACCCTCATCCTCGACTCGAAGGTTTGGAAAAGCTGATCAGGTCAATGCCATCAGCTGATGCACTGAACCAGATGCAGAGAAGTGGTAAAAGTTGGCAAGTGTTTACCAGGAACACCCTAGACTTTACAAAGTACATTTCTTTGACTGGGAACATAAGTACGCATTTGATCACTTTGATATATATGGTCGTGCCAATTTTCTTCCACAAATCGATCTGAAGAAGTGGGTCAGGCCCACGAAAGCTCATCACCTAATAAGCCATCTTGTTAGTCTTTAAAGTGCTACAAAGTTCTGTCTTTCATTTTACTCTAGTCTCTCACCATGCTTCTGCAGTCAGAGGTAAGGTTTATCAGTGTTTGCATTAGATTATCAGCTTTCCTCGAAGATGCAATACAGATTCACACCTAGCCCACAAGCCTGATCTTAACTGGCGGTAAAGACCTCAGACAAGGAAGCATTAGTGAAAGTGCATTGTAAGGGGACGGATGTAGGTTTCCTCCTATCTATCTGCTCCTATAACATGAGGTCAGGTAAGAGCTACTGCATGAGCATCTACATATAGCCTATATAGGAGCTATGATGTTTCTTTATTTCCCTTCACAGCCTTAAAAAAAAAAAAAAAGGTCAGATTTGTAGCTGATTTGTAGTTAGTCTTGTCAAGAAAAGCCCAAGGAAACCAAGTAGGAGTACATCTGGGAGCACACTGGAGTAGGTATTTCTGGAGGCCTACACATCACAGTAGGCTAATCCCAGAAGTAAACATTAGGGGTCAGCGATTGCATTGATTATGGTGAACAGCCAGAGAAATCTTTGTTTACCCTGATCTGTTTTGTTGTTGGCAAAGCAGAATACTTCCTCTTCTAATGGCTGAAGGCTACCCAACAGAATTCACACAACAGCCTCTGCTGCTCGGGCCTTAACATGCACCCAACCCATATGTATTCCACGACCGTTCTAAAGTCAGGGGTTCTCAACCTTTCCCCCCCAAGGTGCCCCTCACTGTGATATAAAAACTCTAGGGCCCAGCAAGTGAGGGGGGAGACTCCTCAAGGCTCTGGGTTGGTGGGAGGGCTCAGGTGTAATTTGACTTATATTTTGCTTGGGTAGGGAGTAGCAGGACTCAAGCCCACTATGCAGAGCAGGGTCCAACTATACGTACAGTATGATGGGGGCTAATTTGGCTACGACAAATCAGGAAAAAGATCTTGAGTTATCGTGGACAGTTCTCTGAAAACTTCCACGCAGTGTGCAGCGGCGGTCAAAAAGGCAAAGAGGATGCTAGGAATTATTAGGAAAGGGATAGAAAATAAGACCCAGAATATCTTACTGCCCCTGTATAAAACTATGGTATGCCCACATCTTGAATACTGTGTACAGATGTGGTCTCCTTACCTCAAAAAAGATATTTTGGCCTTGGAAAGGGTTCAGAAAAGGGCAACTAAAATGATTAGGGGTTTGGAACGGGTCCCATATGAAGAGAGGTTAAAGCGACTGGGACTTTTCAGTTTAGAAAAGAGGCGACGGAGGGGGATACGATAGAGGTCTATAAAATCATGAGTGGTGCGGAGAGGGCCGATAAAGAAAAATTATTTATTAGTTCCCATAATAGAAGAACTACAGGACACCAAATGAAATTAATGGGTAGCAGGTTTAAAACCAATAAAAGAAAGTTCTTCTTCACACAGCGTGTAGTCAACCTGTGGAACTCCTTGCCAGAGGAGGCTGTGAAGGCTAGGACTATAATAGAGTTTAAAGAGAAGCTGGATAAATTCATGGAGGTTAGGTCCATAAAAGGCTGTTAGCCAGAGGATAAAATGGTGTCCTTGGCCTCTGTCAGAGGCTGGAGAGGGATGGCAGGAGCCAAATCGCTTGATCATTGTCTTCGGTCCACCCCCTCTGGGGCACCTGGTGCTGGCCACTGTCGGCAGACAGGCTACTGGGCTAGATGGACCTTTGGTCTGACCCAGTACGGCCGTTCTTATGTTCTTATGTCCATGGAGGGAGAACCGCCTGCCCCCTCCCACAACACCTCAGCTGCCCCCACACCTATCTGGGTTAAGGAGGAAGAGAAGGGGCAATCAAAGAGAACTCAAAAGTGGGGGGAGCTTAGCTCAAAAAGTTTGAGCACAGGTCCAGGTGCAGGGAGGGGCTAGCTCCGGGTATAGCTAGGGGCTGTGCGCCAGAAGGGCTCCCATGTCCCTGTCCCCACAAGGTTCTGCTACCCATGGAACTGCACCCCCTGCCAAGGCGGCTCTTACTGGCTGTGTAAGCAAAGGGGGCAAGGAAGTGAAGAGCAGCTTCTACCCCCGCAACTGCTTGCTGTTGTGCTACAATGTGGGGAGGGCTCACAGCTTCTGCCCTATGTGGAGCAGTGGGTTGTAAGGCTCCAGAACTCAGCCCCACAGCTCCTGGCTTCAGCCTCATGGCTCGGGCTCTGGGTTTGAGCCACAGGACCCTGCGGCCCCTGGAAAGAGTTTGCAGACCCCCGTTAAGACACACCGATAACATGCTGTGTCCATCATTGCAAACTCTCTTCTTGATGCACCCAGGCTAAAAAAAAGGCCCAAGTCTTGGAACGCAGGCAGTTTCAGCAGAAATATCTGCATGCTTCCTCTTAGCCCGCCGCAAGCTCTCAGCGCAACAGCACGACCGAATTCTTACCCAATTCCTCCTTGATAATCCGCTGTGCTATTCTGTCAATGGTCCCAAGCTTGAGAACAAAGGTATCTAGGTAGTCGCCGATGGCTGCAAACTCCAGCGGTCGACTTCTGAGTTTATAGCCTCCTGTGACATATTTTACCGACTCTCCCATCTTGGAGAGCAATGCCATTCCTTGTTTTTTATAGGCATTAAGATCCTGCCAGCAACAAGAAATATATGGTTTGCATGTAGAAAAGCCAAATACCATCCCCAATCTAAAGGGTCATGTCAGAGCACATCAGAGAAAGCATCTAAAAGGAGGAGGATGTCTCTTGCATCTAAATCCTGGTTCAAAAGCTCTCCTCCTCACAAAAACTAGGCAGAGTGGATCAGAGGCACCTATAGGCAATGGGATGTTTTACAGCCTTGCTCATTTCCTGTACATTAGGTAGTGGCAGTTGGGAAGTTCATTAGCTCCTTACCCCATTAACAAGAGAAAAACTTGCAAAGAGCACAGGAAAGGACAGGAGAAAGAAGGCCAGCAGAATCCGACAAGGGCAGTTCTGTAAATAAAGATCCTCAGCGCCCACCGTGCATATCCCACCCCCACAACCTTTGGAGAAGAGACCAGAAACAGTGCGGCAGTGCGGATGCATGGACACGTATTGATGGAGGATCTGAGACACTAGAAAGTACACCAGTGTTTACAAGCAAAAATGGTCTGAGCGCGCTCCGTGTTCACAAATGAGGGAGAGATACAGTAGGTGAGTCTCATTCCCAGAAACCCAACTGCCAACAGGCAGACTTCCATCAGCCACACATCTGTGGGCAAGCCCCTTTCTTGTCACAAGAGCCCCTGCATCGCTGGCACACGTACATGCCAGAGAGAGAATACGAGTGCAGCGTTCTATTTACACACACTCTTGTCTCAGTTGGATGCTTTTGGCTCCAATTAGCCATAGCTTCAGCCCCATGCCCTTGTAGAAGAGGAATCCTTCCTACTAATGCAGGGTGTGAAATAAATAAGGAGAGCGCATGTTGGTAGATCCTTACTGACATAATGGCCCTCAAAGCAAGAGCAGTATCTAACATTGGGCGTCTAACAGAGAAGGCAAAAAAGGCTGTTTATAGCCACCCTTGTGTCCTGAGCAGTTTTCTCTACTATGCTGCGCATGGGCTTGTCATAGGCCTAGCACAGTTGGCTGCTTTTCAGGATATACCATTCCCAGGGCAGTAGGTGAAGGCCCAGCTAGGGAACGCAAACCCAGCCCCGCCCTTTCCACCCGAGGCCCCCCCTCTTCAGTGACCTCCCACCCATGGAAGCAAGCTCCACTCAACCTCAGCCCTCGTTGGCAGCCAGGAGGACCGAGGCTGCCACGCCACAGCCCCAACCCGCCAGGTGGCCAGGGAGCGTAGGCAGTTTTGGGAAGAAAATGCCTTCCCTATGTTACCCGCTGCCCATGCACCATTCTCCATCGCCTCATATCTATCTTTTCCCAGTCTCATTTATCACATTCATTTTCAATAGCTCATGTTCTCAGATTTCTCTCTCCTCCTTTGGACACTATATGCTTAAATTCCCATGGTTACCTTGGCGGTGAGAAACACATTGAAATGTTCATTGAAAGAAAGTACTGGATGATCTGCAATTCTTTTCAAGAATTTATCTAACGCTTTCCTCCTCGTCTCTACAAATTCTTCAGAAAAGCGATCGACGACTCCCTTCATCACAAATTTCTCAGGAAGAGGCTGTGAAGAAAAGCAGAGGGATAGTTTTCCATGGGATTAAAACCAGTTGTTTTTGCTAATATTTCCTTGTTTCTGATAGCTAGCTCTGTCTTGACATAAAGAAACAAATGCAGTTAACAGGACCCACCTGGTATTTTGAGAACACAACCGTGGGGGCCAAATTCTACTCGTTATGAGACAAAATTAATCCAGAACTATGAGCCACTGGTGTTATTCCAAAGTCACACCAATGTAGCCAAAAGAAAACTGGCCCATGGCCCTTGCAGCCATTACAAACGTAGCTCATATTGGGTTGACGTGTGGACCAAGAAAACTTTCCTCTACTGTGCTCTGTTTACTTATACTTAGGTTCCAATTCAGGAAAAAATGCAAGCACCTGCTTAACGTTAAGTATGCACTTAAATTCCATTCACCTCAATAGATCTTGCACCCAGGCTTAAGTGCTCTTCTGAATAAAGAGGCTTTCCTGGATCAACTCACTGCTAGGCAGTTTTATGCAAATCCTGAAAGTCTGGGAAAGCATCTGAAAGCTCAAATGCTTTAAAGGAAATGGAGGAGGTAGCTGGCCTTTCCAAGTATCATTTTATTCTTTAAAAATGGTGATTGAACATAGTTAAGCAATTCCAAGATGCCAGAAATCGACCATCAGCCATTCCTAGTGAAGTGGAAGGTGAAATCTTTAGGCTTCTTTTCTTCCTACTGTTCAAGTGATGGGCAAGGTCAAGGCCCCCTTAAAAGACCAATAAGGTGGGTCATTGCCATAGAAAGTGCAAGTTACACACCCACTGGGCCTGTTTTTCCCTCCCCCTCACACTTTTGCAATGTCCCAGTGTGCAACTCTTCCGTCAGCATAACAGATGAGCGCATTGCCCCTGCAGTTGATATCCATCAGCCGCCCTAGAACGACTACTAATCCTGGAACATTAACTGGCCATTGTTCCCATTTCTCATTAGCTAGGGCTTACATTTACTTTAAAGGAGGCAAAGCTTGATATTTATGGGGAGCTGTGGACTGGTAGCTGCAGCCGGCACAGACAGATGGGCCACTACAGATGCGGGGTCATCCCAGGTAACCCACTTAGCTGCCTTCTGCTTCCATTCATCTCCCTCTAGAGCTGAAAGAAGGGCAAACATCACAAGATACTGTAGAACAGCTGCATTAACATCTCTAATCATACTTTCACCTTCCCATTCAGGTTAGTGTGAATAAAGGCAGCGACCAAAGCGCAATACCAGCCCAGGGTTAGCCAGCCTGCCTGCCACTCAAGGAGGCGTTCATTTGATCATTTTGTACTTGAGACATTTGCAGCATCTCCGTATAGCAGCATGGGCACCAAAGCTGTGAGAAGAGGGTTTTCTGGTTGTTTTTAAAGCCACACCCTGTGCTCTGTTCCAAGTTGGCTTTCCACTCTTGCAGAATAGGAAAGAACGTCGGACTGGGGAGACCATAACCTGTACACCCATCATTAAATAAAGATTAACTCAGCAACTTATGCAAGGTCTCACGCCGAAGAGAATCTTTCTTGCCATCTGAAGTTGGAAAAAAGAGTAATCCTGTGGTAAAAACGAAGTACAAGGGCTTCCACGCTGGAAACAGTGCCAGCCCACTACTAACTCTGAAATGCTCTCGTTTCAGTGTCTTAATGAGTACCATATGGGACCAAAGGAAGCATTACCACACAAAAAAGGAGGTGTTTTGCCAAGGGTAGTTGATCTATCACAGAGATCATTAGGACAATTATGAAACTTTCAGTGTTTCTGCAGGATGTGAATTCAGAGAGAGTTGATTTTAACGGTGTATTTCAAGTCTCTCGCTCTCAACAAGAAACTCCACAAATTTACATCTCTCAGATTTATGCACAGGCTTGCTGGAGGAGAAGAAAGTTTTTTGCAGATCAAACTAGATCATAATAATCTTGTCTTTCCTTAGGATCCATGAGTTACTTAAATGGGGGGGGGGGCTTCCTGGTTCTTCACAAATGCACTGAGAGAGACAGTGCCAGCTACGCTGTAACTTCATACAATTTCACCAACACTACAAAGGGGAGGAAGGAAAACACTGAACCAGTCTGATCCCTTCGACAGAAGAAATTCCCATTAATTTTATCAACACAACATGAAACCATCAGTCAACCACCACACACACACCCTCTCTTAAAATGGAGACAATTTTTCTTCAAATGCAGTGAGATCAGTTATGTTTCACCACACAAATTATTTATTTTGATCAGACCGCTCCCAATAACTTCTCTGACATTTCCATGAAGCAAATGAATTGGCCATTTATATAAATATATAAAATTGTTGGAACCCATGCTTCTATGCTACTATGTCTGTGACAAAAATCAAGCCACATACTCTGAGAGCCAATCAGCAACACTTTCAAAACAGTCTTACAAATATCACAATTAGTCTATGGCAATACCCAGTGTGTCAAAGTGGAAAAAAAATGTACATTTGGAGAATGTTATATAAGCAGCCTTAGCTTTTACATGAATCAAGTCTAAAGATCTTGGAAATCGTATTAAAAGCATACCATCTTATGGTTTCACTTACTCGCTTACAGTACTTACTATTCAGATCTATGAAGTGGATTTAACTACTTTCTGCTATCTGTAAATTCACTCAATTTTCTTTAAGCAGTCATAATTCTGAAGCGTTTTAACATTAAAGGGATTAGATACACAGAGCTGTCAAAGAGAAGGGTAATTTCCTCAACTATTAAAATGAGCTCAGTTCAATACAGAATGACAGTGGCATTGCACAGTAAGCTAATTCTGCTTTCAGTTACATCTTGACAAACAATTACTTCAATGGATTTGCACAGGTCTAAGAGCAGAATTTGGCCAGGTAGGTTTGCAGAGCCTTTCAAAGGCTGCGCGCACTATTACAGCTAAGATAACTAGACACTCATTTACAAGGATTACCCCAGTTTGGGCCAAAGATTGTATTGAAACTTGGTTTGTTCGTGCATCAATGGAACAAGCTACCCATATGTCCACGTGTCCTTTCTAATTTCTTGCCCTCCCTACTCCTCCATGCCAACTATCCTGTACCACACGCCCTTGTTTGCTTTCAGGGGTCTTCTCTTGACATATGATGGAATACTCATAACAATCTGCCACATGATCTGGGAAGCCTCCAATTCCATCACAGAAAGCTGTGCAAAGAAAGAACCCTAGTACATCATCACCCAGCTATAAGCTCAGCCCTACCGCAGGAGAAGAAAAAAATTCCTCAATAGTGGGATAAACACAAACCCATCCCAGCACTTCCTTCCACTCTAATTTCAATGTGGTCCTTCTGCTGTTGTACCCCTTAACAACCATTGTGCATCTCTCAACTGATAAGAGGTCTGACCTTGCGAGCTTTCTCTGTGCAAAACTTTTACTCAAAGACTGATTTCTTGGGAGCTTTGATCCCTTTGGGGGCTGGTTTCCTTGGTGCTGAGCCCTTGTAACTAAGCCCCACTGGTTCAATGTCTGTTTTTCTGCAGGGGGACAGGAACAAATGTTTCCCTCTTCACAGCTGGCACTTAGAAACAGTGCAGTTGGGACTGTCAGTGAAAGTTTATTATGGCTTCACATCCTGAGAAAAGCACGTGTGAACGTGAAATCAAAGAGATTTAGAACCCCCATTAGTGCTTTTCAGGCAAGCCTCATGTTTCTTGATGGCTCAACATAAGACTCCCCCCACCCCCCAATCACCTTATCTCTTCCTGCTCTGAATGTTCAAGCCAAAACAGTGCAGTTGGGACTGTCAGTGAAAGTTTATTATGGCTTCACATCCTGAGAAAAGCACGTGTGAACGTGAAATCAAAGAGATTTAGAACCCCCATTAGTGCTTTTCAGGCAAGCCTCATGTTTCTTGATGGCTCAACATAAGACTCCCCCCACCCCCCAATCACCTTATCTCTTCCTGCTCTGAATGTTCAAGCCAAGGCTGGATAGACCGTGTGTCCGGAAAGAGAGACAATTTGTAAGGGAGTTAGGGGTTAAAGCAAGTTAAGATTTACTGATTAAGGAGAGCCAGAGGGTGATCTGCAACCTGCTTAATACTGGATCATAACCTATCACACTACACTAGCACGGAAGGAATCTTAAGCCAGAGGGTGATCTGCAACCTGCTTAATACCGGATCGTAACCTATCACACTACACTAGCACAGAAGAAATCTTAGAGGGTTCGAGGAATTCGAAGAGTAGGCAATGGCTACCAGTTTGCCACTGCTGTTTGCACTAGTCCCAAATCCAATGCAACAGCATTAGCTTTTCGCAGCATTACGCTAGCACTTTAAATTAAAAACAAAAGATGCGAAAGAGCTGGATAATGCTTTTGAAGAGAGAAAACGGTTTGTATTTTAATTCACTGCCCAGATAGTTTCACACAATGGATTTAAAAAGTGTTTCTCAGAGCCTTTAGATAACTAGAAGGGAGCTGACGATTATTTCCTGTCTTAAACAGCAGTAACCAGAAGGAAAACCTCTTCACAAGGAAGAGTTCCCAGGTATACGGTGTCAGCCTTTGTATCTTAAAACAGCCTAGCTCCAGGATGATTTCCCTTTAAAGTCTATGAGTAACAAAGCACACAGGAGCACACATTGCTAACTGAACCTTATGCACACTAAGACTGGAGTTTTATATCAGTCTATCCTGTAGCGAGTCAGAAGTTCATGCGACCTTACTTACAATCTTCAGAGGCCCAGGGTGAAAAGCAGCTACTGTGTAAGAGGAAGACAGACACCGATGCTTTCAGACCACACACAGAGTAACAAGGTTGTCAGGTTCAAAGAGAGAAGGGAGTAATTATTTAGGGCGTTATTTAGCCAAGTTGTCAGTGGACAAAGGCCCAGCTGTTCGCCCAAGCAGCAAATACACGCGTAACTGATGAGGCCACAGGTTTCCTCTAAGGATTTGGAACCATCAGTTCCTTTCCCTAGAAGGGGGGTCCTCCAAAGAGCAGGAACAGCCTGAACTGGGCAAGTAGGGAGTTTTCTGTACAACCCCTTACACATGCAAACCATAGAGTGTTAGTTTAAATACTAGATACTCGAATTAAGTGCATCATAGGGAAGGGTGACTAGAGAGACTGCATCGGCAACGGGCCGTGCTGTCGGAAACCAACAGTTGGACAAACAGAACAGCGTATCGAACTAACAGAATGGCCAAGCATTTGTCATGTTACATGGGAAGCCGTAGAGGTGCCACCTCCACTGGTATCTTTTCAACCAGAGTTAAACGAGGGTGAGTTTTTAGAGGCTTCAGCTGCATCATCTGGCCAAGCATTTAACAGACTTCACAAGGCAATATTTAAATTCCACTGTCAAAGCCGGCTGGGACAGATCAGGGTAGGCCCCTTTTGTGCTGCTTTGCTTTCTCAAGTCAGACTCTTCCACCGTAGAAGAGAAGAATACAATGAAGCTTTGCATTTTACACACTTTAAATCCATAACTGCTGAACAACAAGAAGATTCACTTTTTTTTTCCTTAAAGCAGACACTCGCAATACACAAAAGTGTTCAGCAAAAGCTGACCACTGTTTGCTACATACGGGAATGAGATGTGTTGGCTGAGATTCCTCTAGCTTATTCCTCAACCAGTCAAAGTCCTGGTACCGTCGGCGTACGGAATATTCTGGCAAGTCAAACTCTGCTCGGGTGGTCTGGAAATAGTAAAACACAAAACAAAACTGAGTTTACCCTAGAAAGTGAATGAAAATGTTTTTTAAAAAAATACATGAAACAAAGCTTTCCTTTTCATTTTAGAGCACATAGCCAAAGTAACATACTTACCTTAAATCAGGAAGAAATAATCTGACAATAGTCTGACAATCAGAATTCAAGTCTCAAATTGAGTTCTCAGAATGCCAGTATGGGAGAAAAAAAATGATGTATTATTTTTCAGCTTCAGGCAGTAGAAGAACCACGGATAAAACGTTTGCAAACACTACATTTAATATTTCGATAGAGTGTTTTATTTAAGATCTACTTTGAGTTGGCTGAGCAGAACATTTCCTCAGGGGACGAAATGTACAGGGTGAAGTCAGTATTTTTTTTAAAAAAAAGTCACTGAACACATTTTAGGAGGTATTACATGAACTCGACTCTTGTTCCAGAAGACAGAGCAATGGAGGATTAAAAAAGACACAAGATTACTCATAACTTGTTTACTCAAGAGACAGATTAATCGTGGGTGAGAACGTGTGTGTGTCATTGCTGGGCTCTGCCAAAGCCTCAGCTTCATACGGTCTCTTTTCTAAACAAGGCTGAGAAATTAGCTAACTTAAAACCATCGTTCAATTTAACAGTCCTTCGGCAGGCATTTCTCCAAGATGAAGTGAGCACCAGAGAGAATTCTGACTCCGGCCATAATTCTGTAGTATTTTGGAGAATCAATTACCAGATAGCCACCAATCGGTGTATTGACAGTAAGAGCAAGAGATATCCTGAACCAGCAAAATGCCTTAATCCAGAAAGTTTTAGCTGCAAACTGCCTCCCCACCCCAGTTTAATTTCGCTGAGAAAAACTACAGACAATGCACACAGTACGCTCCTTGAATAGGCTGCAGCCAAGTAAACCAGCCAGGTGCTTGCATAGCACCTACATGACTATCCACAAGTCCCTGCTCCCAGGTTCTGATCAGTGCATGGCGTTGGTACACATGCATTAGGAGCTCAACCATCTTGTGGTTCCTTTGGGTCATATGGCAGAGGGCTTCATGACTTCACTGATCTTCCAATACACACATTTCTCGGCTATCCCTATACACCATAGCCTATTATTTAGCTATCACATGGGACAGAATATAGAAATCCCTATTCAAGAGCCTGCAGACGGAATCTGTTCGGAGAGAAGAGTGCTGAAAGTACCGCTAAGATAGACATTTACATAGTGTCAGTAAGTTCTGTTTGACGAAAGTCAGCTGGAGAAAGTCCTGGGCTACGTCTGAGCGCACTGCAGCAAAACAGATTTAAGGCCAGAAAAAAAAAAAAGATCATCTCGCCTGACCTTCTGTATCATACAGGCCATAGAATTTTACCCAGCTAAACCTGTATTTTATCCCATAACTAGGGTCCAACCATCTGCTCTTGATTTGACACCATCAAGAGAGTGAGGCCACGTCTAAACACGTTGGCGATTGCTCGTCTGGCGTTCCATTTCACTAGACTCGCTAAGATCCGCTAAATCGAACCGTGAGGGTAGCTCTGGCCAGCACCAGTATTCCTCGCAGTCGCCAAGAGTAAAGGGAAGCCAATGGGAGCATATGCCCCCATCAGCCTCCCTCTGTGAAGACAGCAGCAAGCTCGGCTTAAGGCAGTGGGTTTTCAAACTTTTTCTCATGGCCCAGTTGAAGAAAATTGTTGATGCTGCAACCCAACATAATTTGACTAGAGTGTGGGCTCTAGGGTGGGGCTGAGAATGAGCTTTGGGGGAGGGAAGCAGGTTGGGGTGGGGGGAGGGGGCAGGTAAGACTTTCCTTCAGCAGCTCCCAGTTAGCAGTGCAGGAGGGTTGTTAAGGCAGCTTCCTGCCTCTCCTGACACCACAGACCGTACTGCACCCCAGAAGCAGCCTGCAGCAGGTTCCCAGCCAATGGGAGTGTGGAGCTAGTGCTCAGGGCAGGGGCAGTGCACAGAGCCCTGTGCACTCTCCTCCCCACCCGGGAGTCAAGCAGAGGCGCAGCATCCAGGACCCGCCGTAAGCCGGGACTGCTCAGTCTTGGCTCACGCCATTTTCCCCGCTACGTCACTGCTTCCCCTGCCCTCCTCTCCCCCCCGGTGAAGATGGTGTGGGGAAGAGGGGGGGTGGAGAGAAAACTGACTCCTGCTCCCCACCTTGCTGCCTCTGTATCAGAGGCAGCAAGGGCAGGGGTGGGGAAGAGTGATTAGTCAAGCCTAGGCTTATTGGAGAGTCAAGTAGTCACTTCCATCCCTAATACAAACTAAACTAATTAGCAGAGGGCACAAAGCAAGCTGAAGATGACACACGTCACAGTCACTACTCCTCCCACCTTCCCATCCAAAATATAACTGCGTGAGTGAAACTGTCACATGATTCAGATAGTTAGCCTGTATTGGAACTATACAGAAAACTTAGATCTTTTACACAGACTAACAGCACGTGCCAGAAGCGTCCCTGTATTGGAACTATACAGAAAACTTAGATCTTTCACACAGACTAACAGCACGTGCTCTTCAGCTCTCCAGGAGGTTCAGAAATATGCAGTGTAGTACAGCATTGTAACTAGAAACCAAGTTCTCCTCAGCTTGCCAGGATTCTGAGCCCTGCATGGAGCACCATGAATGCAGCTCTCCTGAAAGCAGGCACGCCCCAACCACCAAATTAAATAAGGCACTGTGTGATGTTTGGTATCCTTCCCATGTGCTCAAAGAGATTTTATTTGATGGGGGGAGGGGGGCTGTTATGGCACCTATACTCAGTCTATGTCAAGGCATATAGTGTTATGGATAAATGAGAGTTGCCTAGAAAAGTAAACCCTTAAATATCAGACACACAAGCAACCAATTCCTGTAACTAAATGTTTCCTACTGCTTCTGACAGGCCACCTTTTTCCTTCCTTCAGTGCCTCTTTACCACTGATCAGGATGCAGGATGAAAACTCCCTCCAAAGGGAATCTTACTTCAGGCAGGCCACGAGGACTTCGAAAGTTTTATTTTGTTCTACAGAGGGGCCGGATCCCCTTTAGGCATAACCCCCCCTTGATGTTAAATTTTCTTTTAAACATCCGCATGTGGAGTTGACAAGACTGATGCTGGAATACAGCATCCAGTTCTGGTGGACACTTGACCGGCACATCCAGAGGTGCCCACATTTCCCGCTCTACCTCCGTGGGAGTGGGATCTCTCAGTGCAACAAACGTAGGTGGTCAGGAGAGGGAAGAAAAAATAACAGAGCTCAATCTTGAGGGGTTCAATCAAAAGCCAGATCTGATACCCATGACACCCTCTCTAGAAGTCTAGGAAGGGGCTTCCTGTCCCTCCACCTGCCCCCAGAAACCAAGTAAAACTGGACTCTTCCCCAGCATGCTTTCACAATTGGAGGGTTTATCTTGCATAGTTCTGCTGCCCTCTGAAGTTACATTTGAACAAGACACACCCAGTCAGTCACCCTGGCAAATTCCAGACTAGGGCAGATTATGGAGGTAAAGGAATAGATAAGCAAGCACAAACATCAACAAAGGAAGAATTTGAGTTGCGTCTTAAGGAAGCGAGTTCAAATATGCAGATACGGCAGAAAGACAGTGATGTGCAAGAGTACCGTAAAGAGACAGTCAGGAGATAAGAAGGTTACAATACCCATTTTAGTGGTAGCAATCTGATCTTTAATAAATCACTCTATCACTGTGTTCATTTTCCTGTTCAGAGCACAGTAAATAAGTGTCAACTATGCATCTATCTAGTGGACCCCTGAAAATGTTTTAACCCTTGGTAGATTCTTATTCATGTTGGTGCCAGTCTTAGGCAGATGTAGCCTCAGTATATCCACTGGGCAAGAGGAGAGGAATGTACTGTAAATTCCAGAATGAAGCAGTAAAACACGCAGATTCATCTTTCTATGCCACAGTACATTATTAAAAAGATAAATCAGTAAAGGCAAACATTCCTCTCCAGTAACACTCGCATGTGAGCCAGCTTGATTTGTTTAGCAGAACTCTATCTACCAAGCTCTCTAGCTCGCAGGGTAACAGCTTCACTGCTGCAGTGAAATTCCTATAAAAAGGGACTAATTTTCTGGTTGTGTTTTTTAACTCATTGATTAGGAGCATTTTTACTGTCCAACACGTTTTTGCAGTACGAGCAGTGCTGGCTGTTCTTGGACACTTATCAGAAAGGTGGCCCACAAAAAGAGTGTTTAAATTGGTAAGTCATCATTCCTTTATAGTGCTTAAACACCTGAAAGGCTGCTGATCACCTAGAAAAAAGGGGACAGGTACACTGCTTCATTTGGTTTTTTTTTTAAAGCCTCAGAAAGAAGGTGAAGCCTGGATTTGCTGGAGGTCTGCGACTTTCTCCAGCCCCTAAAAACAAGCATTATAACCTTCTACCCTAACTGAAGGCATGAGCTCACTGGCTCTTAACAGAAGCACTCGGTCTCCACAAAACATTAGGCATTGGAAATGAACGTAAGTTTCAGTAGAAAGTTTTGACCAATCTAAGTTATCCACCCATCTCAGTTCAACTCCCAGTTTCCATTCTCCTCAGGTTTCAGTAGTTTTCCAATTAGCCCTCCCAATAGACAAGGCCTTAAAGGATAAAGGCCAAGCAAAAAATTTTATTGGCTCAAGCTTGTGTGTCTTTTCAAGTTCTCCACAAAACACCAAGCAGTGCACAAGCTGAGGAGTGGTCCTTTAATCGAGCATGTACAAATGGTTTTAGGAGTCCTTTGTGAGGCGTACCCTACATAAGGGAAGTGTGTACTAACTGGAGAGCCGAGGGTGGTGACTGCGGACAAGGCCATGGGGAATAAAACACACGACTGACAACCCAATCTGGGTTCTATTCCCACAAGCTTCCTACCAGACTTTGGAGTTCTCACACACTGCACTTCCTTTGTCTCCGTGATCAGTAAAATACGGGTAAATACCCTTGTACAGGTTGAACCTCTGTGGGCTGGCCACGGAGTCCCAAGAGTCTGGCGAGCTGCTAAGAGACCCCAAAAGAGCCCAGAGTCTGTCAGAAGGGCTGACCTTCCCTGGCCTGGCAAGCTTCAGAAGCTCTCAAAACTTTACAGATTAATTGAAAGTACAGGTTGGACCTAGTTGGTCCAGCACCATTAGCTTCAATTGCTATTAACCAGGATGGATAGGAACAGTGCCCCCAGTCTCATTTATCAGAGGCTGGGAATGGGTGACAGGGGATGGATCACTTGACGATTCCCTGCTCTGTTCACTCCTCTGGGGCACCTGGCATTGGCCACTGTCGAAAGACAGGATATTGGGCCAGATGGACCTTTGGTCTGATCCAGTATGGCCATTCTTATGTAAACTCCATCCGGGCTGGTCAGGTCCTGAGGGTGCCAAAGCAAGGAGGTCCAACCTGTACTTTCTATTAAGGCCTCGAACCCTTCTGGGGGCTCTGTACCCCAGGGGAGCGAGATCAGAGGTCCAACCTGTACTTTCTATTAGATCTGTAACGCTTGGAGTGCCTATGAAGTACTGAGAGCATACACCCGTCGTTTTGCAGTACGTAGCATTCCCATTAGCAAGGTAAACCAAGTTTCACATTCCTATAAGAAATCCTTCTGAGGGTTGGTCTGTTGCTCTACAAGTTTTATACAGTTGTCCATCGTAGCAGTATCCGAGTGCCTTCAAAGTATGGTCAACAGCAACAAGCTGGCCATTTTATGGGCCCAGAAAAATGTTTCTCAACGGACTGGTTTATCCCTTATAAGTCTTGCTCTGCCCATACATACATGCAGCTTTACCACACGATCAGAATATTATGTAGGAAACAATCATGAGACTTGTCAGCTGGAAACAGACTAATTCCAAAAATGTATCCCCTCTAACAGGAGGAGTGGATCACTTAAATCCTCAGTTGTCTTGGATCACTGGCAGACAGACCAAGGGTCCAGGGTACTCTGTGGCAGTCCTGTGGCCATATTTGTGACTGGTAAGTGGAAGAGTCTTGTATACTATCTAGAGTTGGAATTAGCTTTGTGGTTTTGAGGTTGTCTCTGTGCAAGAAAGATATGGCTCCAATGGTGGCCAACACTTTTCCCTTCTATACATACAGCCTAGTGACTTCCAGTAGCACATGACTTCCTCTTGGTGCTATCACTGATGTACCAAAGGCAGTGCCAAACCAGCTGCTGAAAAATTTAGTTCCCCAAAAGAAAGACGATCCAAAGGGAGGAAAGTGGAGGAAGAGAGATACAAAAACTTTTTTACATCACTTGGCCATCTCTCTCTCAGGAGAGGGACAGGGCAGACGTAGCCCTCTTTGTTTGAGTCATAGTTCTGTATTGGTTTAGGTATCTCCACGCCACACCTACCCGCAAGGTGGGAGAGAGAGATTGACTGACTCTTGGGAGTTACAACTTGGGAGAAGCACAACTTGGGAGATACCAGTTGCTGTCCCACCTGCAGCTGTCTGCCTCACAATTGGACAGAAAGTGCCATTCCCAGGTTGTGATGTCCAGCTACGTATTCAGCGCTTCACTAATTTCAAGAGGCCAAATGAATTCTTGGAGTCAGAATGGGCACAACTTTCCTTTTCAAGTTGCAGGTTTCCCTTGGCAGCCCACAGTGAGGGAGTCTCAGGTTTGTGTAAGAAATGTGAGGCGCAAGAGACGAGAAAGAGGAAGAAACAGCACAAACCTAAGAAGTATGGTGATAAGAAGTATGCTGTGTCTTACGTGGATGGACAGACAGCAATATCAAAAGAGAGATAAGTGGCTCTAAAGCAGGGGTGGGGAACCTAAGGCCCCGGAGCCGGATGCAGCCCCCTGCTTGCCTGGATCCGGCCCTCAATGCTTGAGACTCCCCCCAGCTTTGGCAAGACCACTTGGATGCTCCAGCCCCTCCTGTAATGCCCCACATGGCTGGAGCACACAAAATCTACTAGCTTGGGTCCCCCTAGGCTCTGATGTGTGAGGGGAATGTGGAGAGTGTCTTTCTCTTTTCAGTCAGGGGTCCTGGACTCATTTTTTGGTACCAGTCAGGAGCAGTCCGGGGCCACACGCGTCCTGTGTAGCTCACGTAATACCACCCTTTTACCTCAGACAGTCTCATGATGTTCCGAGAGGGTAAAGGTGACAATTCGAGATGAAGACAAAGTTAATACTAAGGACAACAGAGGAGACTGCAGAAAGGAAGAGCGCTAGATGGAAATAGGGATGTTAAATTTAGACTAATCAACTAATTGCATAGTCAATGGAATTTGCATCAACTATTCAATTAGTCGATAAGGACGTCTCTGCCTTTGAAATGTAAGAAGAGCTCCACTGGCTCTTACTATGTTTCAAAGCAGTCCCTCAATGGCCCCGTGCTCCCTGCAGCGCATCTGCTTTTGAAACATAGTAGGAGCTCTGCTCTTGCAACACTTCATAGGCAGAAGTGCCACCAGTTCCCTGCTACGCCCCTGCCTCCACCCCATGGAGACGTTTCCTTTGAGAGAGGCAGCAAGGGGGGAGTGGTGTGCAAAAGTGACTAGTCAAGTCACTAGTCGACTACTCACTTACATCCCTACCTGGAAGGCATGAATTTTAAGAAGGGATTCAGAGGAGAAAGCACTTGGAGAGATGTCTTCTAATTGTCAGCCAATGCATAAGCAAAATAGCACGAGGCATAGTGCTGAAAGTGAGAGATTATGAAGGCAGCAGTGAGGGAATTTCTCCTCTCCTACAGAGGGGAAAATTCAGCTGTACTGGAAACATGGTTCTATGTACCTCAATCAGGTTATGCAAGCGTTAACGGTTAACCCGATCCTCTTAAATCATTAAAGTAGAGTTAACCAATGGCTTCCACGGATCTTCTTGAAACAATACCAAGTATGTTAACCAATTTTTTAAAAAACCACTAGAGGTAAAATCTAGGCTGATGTTAAGAGTTTCACAAAGTTTACAAATACTTCAGGGAGTCTGCTGAAAGCAACCACATCCTTGGTATATTAACGGACCAAAACAAGACAAACAAAACAAAAAAAAACAAAAAAAGACACTAAGCTGCTATGTCTACACTGGCGTTTTAAGAGATCACCTCCCACATCCAAAAACAAGCATAAAAACCCAAAATAAAAGACTCTGAAAAAAGGAAAGCATTTGCGGTTACCTTTGTTGTAACCCTATATGTGATGTAGGTCTCCATTGTGCAGACATGCTTTTTGGGATCGTCGACAGTGACAAAGAGGTCTCTGGTTTCCCCATCCAAGTCATCATCCAGCTGCAGTCGGTTGAGCAGTGAGGAGGAGGAGGCTGGGCTAGAAGTATCTACAGGAGTGCCGTTGGGCAGACTGAGATCCTGGAGGAAGACAAAAACACCACCCCCACACTTTAGGCAGAAATAGTTGCAGTACAGCAAAGTTTTAGCTGGGAAACAGTCAAGCCGCGTGACTGATACAGCTTCTTTTATGCCCTTCTCTGGAACCCCCTTCCAAATCTGGTCTACTATGTATACTCCCTTTTCTTTCTTAAAGCTCCTTCTTAAACCACACCACTTCCAGCAGACCTTACACACCCTAAACCCATTTCGGCCAAACAAAACTGAGTTCATTTCCACCCTATTTCTCCTTGGCAAGCACACTGAGTGAAGGGACCAATTCCTCCCCCGTCCATGTCTCCTCTTCCCAGGTGTTGGGGGTAAAAGGTGACTTGCTTAAATTGCAACAGCCGCACTCACAGGTCAGAACAGGGTGTCCATTTCTTGCACTTGGCATTTGACCTTAGGCCTCAGAAGGAGGTGACGATTAGGCCATGAACATTTTGCAGTGGCCCAATAGGACAAGGTGTTCATTAATCAGACTCAAGGGGGGGAATGGGGTGCTATGCACTAGTCACCTTTTAACTCTCAAGACCGGCATTTAAATCACGGGCCAGCTCATAAAACAGTTCCAAAGCCTCCAACAAAAAGCCACCCCACAGCATCAGACAGATCAGCATCCCCGACAGCAAGGCTGGGCAAGATGCGGTCCGGGTGCCAGATCAGGCCCACCTAACAGTTTGATCCAGCCCCCGGACTGCATCTGCCCCCTTTCTATTTAAATCCTGCTGCCACTGAATTTCCAAGTGGTGGTTCAGGGGGCAGGACCCTATTTAAAAGGCTCACCGCTGGGGTGCTACCTGGCAGGGGGTGGAGCTGCGAACCTTTCAAATAGCTGCAGTAACCCCAGGCAGCTGCCAGGCCACACAGTAGTGGCGGGCTGGGTGTTGCGAGCCCTTTGCTGTGTTTAATTCAAAGCCTCCAGTCCCAGACAACTCGGGAGGGGATGGGGGAGGCTAGTCCCCAGCCCTGCCTCTTCCACTCCAGACTCTGCCCTTTCCAGGGGTGGGGCCAGCCCGTGACTGCACAGTAAAATTCATCAACTGGCCTCCCTCTGAAAATTATTGCCCACCCCTGTCCTATAGCTGGGCAGCTGCCATCAATCAGAACAGCTGCTCTATTCCTGGTTAACAGGGAACTGAGCCACTGAGGTCTTTTTTCCTTAAAAAAGAAGGGTCAGGCTGCAGAAGTTTTGGAGCTCCACGTATCTGCCCTCCCCCAGAAGTTACCATCGTGCCAGCGGAAGTTGAAAGCGGTTGCAGATGCAGAGGCAAGCCTGCCGCAGGTGGTGGGGGCTACCTGATTTAGAAGAAATACTAGGACAGCAAGGAGCTACTCGGCTGCAGGCAACATTCCTGCCCTGAAATTCCTAGAGACCAATACGGTATTCTGGATAGGTCTATTTTTTGATGGCCTGGTTACATTTCTATGCAGCTAACAACAGTTACTACTTCCCAGAGACTACACAAACCCACATACGACAGAGCTTGCTCTATTGCCATCAGATAAGTTTCTATTGCCTCAAACCAATTCGTTAAGATTTTTAAGAGAGCAGAACAATTAAAGACATAAGTGCAGAGCACTCAGTCCACGGGAACATTTGTCACCAATATATAAAACTCTACAAGGTCTCAGGCTTTTCCTCTGCAGAAGGAAATGTTTTATTGTTAGCATGTGAATCCTGTGTATGCCAATGAAAGGCAGAGGTTTACCCCTCCACTCAATGTAATGCTTTGTGGAATTATTCTCTTTCACTGCAACAGAATAGACCATTTTGCACTTAGTTGGTATCTGCACCACTGGAGTCTGAACTTTTGCTTGGGGGGAGGGGGAAATCATTTGCAATTTGAGGCACTATATCTGAAGGATGATGGATTGAAATAGCTTTCAGTAAAGCTCCTAAACCATAAACTCATCTAGAGATACAAAGAATATTCCCTTCCATTTTGGAAAAATCAAACCCAAAAGGGGAGACACAGAAACAAGATCAGAGATGTTGCACCATTAAAAACAGGAATTAAGACTCACCAAGAGGTTGCTCCCCCACCCCCAAATGTTTCAGTTAAACCCCAGGTCAAGATTTTTAGAAGTGTCTAGTAGTTTTGGGCTCCAAACCAGAGATAGTCTAAAAGGGCGTGATTTTCAGAAAACTGAGCCGCTGCCTCTGAAGAAAAACAATTAGGCCCCTTTCAGATATCTTAAAGAAAACACTCATGAATCATTAGTCACTTATCAAAATTTGACTGTCATATTATAAAATGGATTAAGATGAGATGAGAGCTTAATATTATTGACCTACATTACTCATGTACTTTAAACCTACTATATTGAAAGTGACAAACATGGATAGGGTCTCTTCAGCTATCAATTTAGCTTAAATGAAAGTATTAAGAGAGACAGGAAAGCAACTAAAAGGACAAGGAAGTTTTCCAGCTTTAGGGGCCACGCCCCATTTTGCTATTCAGGGCAGAAACGCATCCTTCTCTGCTCCCTAATTCCCACCACCACTGTTCAAAACACCTTCCCTCAAGATATGACAGAATTGTTACCTCTCGCTTTTGCGCACATACTATATTAAATAACTAGGATCCATTGCAAAGCAAGAGTTATAATAGGTTGCTTGGACAGAGTCAGCCAGCTATTATAGTAAGTTCTCAGTCAAGGATGTCACTGGTTTGACTATTACATGAGGAAGGGATGTAAAGGACTGGTTGACTATCCAATAAGCAAATGTTTATCGGATAGTCGAAAGAATAGTCAACTAGTTGCTCCCCCTCCCCTTGGTGCCTCTATCACATAGCGGGAGCAAGGGGGGTACTTAAAAGCAGCAGCACCACACGGAGCCTGGCATCAGGGGGGGAAGGGGGGGAATCCCCAGCTAACCCCTGGCTTCGGCGCTTTCACCTTTGAAATGCACCAACAGCCCCAGGGCTGTTGCTACACTTCTAAGACGGAGGTGCCCTATCGACTATTCCAGTGGTCCCCAACCTTTTTAGGTTGTCAGGCGCCAGGGGGCGTGGCCGTTTGCCCGCCGGGCGCCCGGGGGCGGGGGCCCCCCCCTTGCGGGGGAATCCCCAGCTAACCCCTGGCTTCGGCGCTTTCACCTTTGAAATGCACCAACAGCCCCAGGGCTGTTGCTACACTTCTAAGACGGAGGTGCCCTATCGACTATTCCAGTGGTCCCCAACCTTTTTAGGTTGTCAGGCGCCAGGGGGCGTGGCCGTTTGCCCGCCGGGCGCCCGGGGGCGGGGGCCCCCCCCTTGC